ACATTTATACTACAATTAAACTACGATCTATGTTGAAAAAAAATGTTGACTACAAAAGGTTTCCTATGTGGCATAGGAATGTAAAAATCCCAAAAAAAAAAAAAAAAGGGTTTCAAGATCCATATTACAGCTACTAATAACTAAGACGTGCATAAACAAAAACAAGAAAAGATGAAGAAACAGAAAGAAGAGAAGAAGGATTTCTGTGCACAAGTTACTGCTAAGCTTCTGTTTATTCACCATGACAACGACACAACAATTAAAATATGGATATTTTTTACCAAAATCATCTCTTCTTTGCTATAAACTTCTGAACCCTCGTTGTATCAACTTCTACCAGACCATTAGCGTAGTTGGAGAAAGTTAGTATATCCCACCAATTGCGGTTGAGAATATCTTAGGAATTATGGGGATAGAGAAACGTGGGATATATGGATACCTTTAATTAAGGAGTAAAAACTGCCCATTAATTAGACCCTTAATTAAGTATGGTATAGGATTGGTAATTTGGTATACGGGTTTGTAATTAAATCAAACCTTAAACATTGAGGGTAATAAGGTTTCATATGTGGTATAGGAATGTAAAAATCCCAATTTTTTACCATTCTTTACTCATTTTAAAAAATTACAAAACATACCCACCCCACTCAAACTTATTACACACTCGTCCACCATAACTCTAGTCCTTCACTCACAAGAGATTCCTAAAGCCAAACTGACAAACTTTCCTAGTTATTCTTTAGTTAATCAACCAAAAATAAAGTAACTTTTATTTAAATTCTAATTTTTTTGCAAGATTGTTGGTTCTGAAAATAGCTAAAAAAATTCTTTGTTTCTCTGTCTCTTTCTTTTGGTTTCAATTTTAAATTCAATATTGAATTAGCTACTAATTTATTTAGTAATTAGATTAGCTACTAATTTATTTAGTATTTGGATTAGCTGAGCACATAATTCAATTATGGCAAAATTTCAAACTAAAAAAAGAAAGAATGTAAACTCCATGTGCATAAGTTTAAAATTTCATATATGAATTTTCATGTGGGTTTTGAAGTGTTTATTGTTGGAATGTAGTGCGTATTATTTTATGATGTGTAGATTTTGGTGTTAATGATGATTTTTGAAGATTTAATTGTGACAAACATTAATATGCCATTGGAGGACCTTGAAGCTTGAAACTCATAAATTGGGGTTGTTGAGTTTGTGGTTATTTTGATCCGATTCTACCGGGTATGTTCAAAATGTTAATGGGAGGATGTGGCTATATTTTGAATCAATTTGGTGGAGATTTTAGAGTATGTGGGTTGAAATTGAGTTGAACTAGTAAAGAAGAAGATTTGTACTATATACCAAAATGGTATACTGTATACTGTATCGGTATACAGTAATTAATTCAAGAGTATATAATTAACTACAATAGTTGTGAGCATGTGATTTTTGCCCTATATGAATTACTCCTATAAAATCCAAGAAAATAGATTTTTGCCAATTATTTGCCATTTTTTATAGGATTTTTGTAGGATTTTATTAATTGTTTGCATTTTTGTGCATATTTTATTTTTATTTAAATCATGAAAAATATCAAAAAAATACCATGCATCGCGTTTAGGTTTTGTTTTACATTTTGAGGATTAATTAGTTAATTATTTATTTTATTAAAATTGAAAATCACAAAAATGGCTCATTTTATATTTTTTACCTTTTAATTTTTAGTATTATTTGATTTTTTCTTCTTTTAATTTTAGNTTGGGCAAAAATTACGTGCTCACAATTATTATTATTATTATTATTATTATTATTATTATTATTATTATTATTATTATTATTATTGTTGTTGTTATTGTTATTATTATTTTTGTTGTTGTTGTTGTTTGTTGTTGTTGTTGTTATTGTTATTATTATTATTATTATTTCAAGATTAGATCTAGGAATTGTGTAAAGAGAATTAAGGTAAGCCTCTCCCTAAATGCATTGTATCTCTGCTTTTAGTTTAGTAAATTGATATCTTTCTTTAAACAAAAAATTAGCAAAAAATTGGGAATGTTTACAGGAGTATTTTAAGGAATTCCTTTTAGGAAAAAAAAAAAAAAACTCAACGGCACTTTAAAAATATTTGGCACTATGTTTGTATCATTCATCCAACTCTTAGACTTATGTGTCTTGCTTTGTGTATATATACTAGGCAGGGGCAGATGTAGCATTCCATTGACGAGTTCAATTAAGCTCATAACTTTCGACGCGGAAAATAAATTAATGTGTAAATATTCACTAAATTTACAATAAATAGTAGATTGAGCCCATAGTTTTAATCTACCATATTGAGTTAGTATCAACAAATATCATACTAGCTACAAGTGACCAACATTAAGTTTGATGGTGTAAATCCAGCCTTTTAAATCTATCGATGAGTCCATCAATTTTTCTTCTTGTTTTTGTTTTCTCAAGTTGATTAAATACAACTCTACATTACGTTTACTGCAATCACTGTCTTATAATCTCAGGTTTCAGAATTTTAATTTCGTAATTCAGCTTTAATTTACTGTTTTGTGGGACACTAACTATAGAAACTCTGTTAGTCAAGGAAAACAACGTTCACGAGAAGACAAGTATTTTGGGCACTTTATTAATTTCTATTTTATATTCAAACATATGATTTCAAAGTATATAATGTACACAATGATTATTATTTTTTTTGAACATGAAGAAGTTTGTAATAATTGACATAGGATACACGTGCTATGTACATAAGCAAAAACTTAAGTAGCAATGGTGCCCATAATATTTCACATTGGTATTTAGTTTTCAGTACGATAGTACGCAATGGAATTTCATAACAAAGGCAGGCAAAATTGTACCAATTAAGTCTCATTTAATTTTTCTTTCAGGTACAAATGTCATGTTTCAATTAAAGAAATCTACATACATTAATATCGAAAATTTTTATTTGTGTCTCATACAATTTACATTAGTTGTATGAAACATCTTTTTTGTCTCACGCTTTTGTGGATCCGGATTTTTGTGGACCCAGAAGTGTAAGATTGGGGTCCACAAATTTGTGAGACAAAAAGGAGTTTCACACAACTAATGTAAGTTGTATGAGGCACACAATAAAACTTCTCATTAATATCTCTGAAAACCAGCACTTAAAACTTTTAATTGGCTTTACCCAATGTATATTCAGATTAATAGGAGTTTCACAAATATTTATTTTTTATTTCTATTTTTTTATTAATTCATTACAATTTTCTTTTTGAACCCATAAATGCATGTATTTTTGAGTCATCTCGAGATTATTAGAACTTTCTCTTATAGATAAATCACTATCCTCGTGCAAGTTTAAGATGACTAATAACGCACAATACTGATAACAACATCGAATGAGAAATCCAAAAATTAAAAATATCAACAACATAAAAACAACTTAAACTTAGAATTGTAGGGCTTTACCCCGGGTAAGGGAGCTCTTCCAAAAATTCTCAACGGCCAAGGGCGGACCTAGGCCGAAGAGGGGGTTTGAAAATAGTTTTCAACCAGCAATAGACGCGCCTCGGTTAGAACCTCACTAGCTGCGTCATTGCCCCAAGCGCAAAGATGCCTTCTATTGGCAAGAAACCTTGACTTATATAGGCTTTGCTTCATCTACTTTCTTTTATAATACCGATATGGGACAACGCTGGTAATGTCTCAAAGAAATTGTAATATTCTGACTTCAATTCAGCAGCTTTTAAATCAAAATCACTTGCCTAAATGGAGATCTTCTATTTAATAATATCACTGCTTTTAATTTGAAATCGCATAATGGCTCTAATGAATGCAGGAGAAGGACTGGGAACGGTTTGTTAATATTAGCTACTTCTTTCGTTTCGTTTTATATTGGGATAATTCATAAAATCCTCCCCGACCTATGACCATATAACTATTTTAAAGTGTAATAAACACCCACCTAAGTGCTGACGTGGCATAGAGAGTGTGCACACTCTCTTAAGGGCAAGTGGAAGTTACAAAAATAATTTTAAAATTGATTAACAGGTACAAGTGTCATCTTTTGGTTGGACATTACATAATTAATTACATCTAATTAATTAGTCTCCTTCGTATAAACCTCTTCTCGCACGAACAAGGGGGACATCGTTTCAACGGCGAAATACCAGAGTGAAAATCCAATACAATGCAAAATCAACCCAAAAATCAAAAGCAGATATGTTTAGTAACAGAAACAGAGCTACAATTAGAGGGAGCAACGAGCGTTTTAAGTAAGAACCTACGGACAGTCAAAACGGTTAACAACAATGGAGTTTCGCCGAAGCAAGGGTCTTCGTCGGAGTTTCGTTCTCCGACCACATCTGACAATGTGAAACAAGTATTATATAAAGGTCTGGAAATAGGAAAATAAGGAAGAAGGAGAAAACAATGAAAACAAGTTTTTAAATAAGAAATACACATTTTAGGCGCATGTATTTCACCACTTTGCACGCATCTGGTTGTAGCTTTTTCAGGGGTAAATAAATTTACTTTAAAGTAGTTCAGAGGGGTAATAGAAACCCCAAAAAGAAAAGGTGTGTAGTTGGTAATATAGTTATAGATCGGGGAGAATTTTATGCATTATCCCTTTTATATTTATGTTGTGGTGTTTGACTAGACACTTAAGTTGAAGTGTATATATTACTTATTAAACTGAGTAGTAATCTATTATAGTATACCAGAACTATATCTTAATGTAGATTGTGAAAAGAAAATTTAAATCAATTAAAATTTTGTATATGTGTCAGCTTAGAATATTCTAAAACAAGAAGTGTAACAATTGGAACGACTGAACTAGGTTTACGAATATTGCACCTTCTGACTGCACACAAGAATTCACATCAAATTTGAAGCAGGCATTTTCACCACCAAATAGCAAGAGATCCAAAAGGGCATTTCCGAACGTGCCGCAGTAGTATCTAAATGAAGGATAGAGGGACAGACCCATTATTCACTATTTTTATACCTCGGAGATTTCTCGGTTATCAAAAACGAGATTCAAAAGGATATATGATTGAAATTTAAAAAAAAGGGTATATGATCAATCAAGCTAACTGTAGTATAGGTCGGACATTACCATTAATACTCTAGCAAAAGCAAGATCAACAGTCATGTCCAACAATACTAAAGAGTTAAAGTTGGTAAGGTAAAATAGAAGGAAATTACAGAGCCGTATTCATTTCGCCTTCCCATCAATGACCTCAAGTCTTCCAAGAGGGATCGCGTTGATCTCTTTCAAGACCTTGAGCTCCAAGTATCGCCTAGTGCATTGCAGGGCGGGGAACTTCTGGCCTAACCGGTGTCTTTGAAGGACTCACCCTACAACATTTGCAAAGTTGTAAAGTTTTAAGTCATGTACTTGAATATACTGAATTACTTGTGGACATGAGGAGAAAAATCCAAATCTACAAGTCTCCTACCTCGTAACTTATTCGAGACTCAAGTTTGGGTTCGAGTAAATGATCTTAAGTACAAAGTTTAGAACCGATAAGAAGAAAAAACTTCAAATTTTTTGTTTGACGATCTGTCTCCTATAACATTCTTGTGAGCGGCTCTCTGATTTCCTCAATTTGACTCGATAGACACTGCTATATTATAAGCTAATGAGATCTATGATTACAGAATATTCTTGGGGCTCCAACATGCTTCAACAAACTCCAACAATAATCTTTCTAAAATACCTAGTTTGTTAATTTCTTTTAATTTCACTTCTTATTACTCCTTTCGTTCACTTTTTCTAACATTTCTGGTACCAACTAATTCATTCGGGCAAGACATCTTACGATGTCATGATGCGCCCATTCCTATGGCCATTCCTTTAATACTTCTGGCTCTCGGGAGTCTCTTTGTAGGATACTTATAAGATCTCATCATATTGTACTAATTATTGGAATAGAGATAGAGATTTAGTCGCACAGTCTACTCATATCTTTTTAAAATTGAATTAGTTACATGTTAGAGTACAACTTAGGGAAGCTATCGATTAATAGTACTCTTTTTCGATTCATATGATCGTCTTTAACTAACTGCAACCTAATCTGCATAGCTGAATATATGATTATATATATACAACCTCAAAGCCAGAGACAGCCATATTGTCAATACGACCTCAAACAGGGGACCAATAACTAGTAACACTCCCTCATTTCAGCCAGTTCCAAAAACTATACCTGTCTGATTTAGACTCTAGCATCAAGCATGCAATGCGCTGACCTTTTAAAACATAAGCATTATTTGTAGTTTTTATTTCAGACGACAGAAGGAAAGCACAGACTGAAAAAATGATAATTCTTGCAGTTTGAGGGTTAAATGCATAATTCTGTTACCTTCTTGAAAACAACTACCAAAATAATAACAATAGTAGAAAGATGCAATAAGAAAAGAACAAATGCATTCTTGAGAAAAAAATGTTAGCGTGGACCAGCTGAAGCGACTTCTAAATAAGCTTACCTGATAGGTTGGGAGCCCAATGTCTCACCACAAAGATCCAATGCCAAAATTGCACTCTCAGCCTGCACATTTTTCAAGTATAAGTTTGTCTGCGGACATTGCTCCACAATTAAAGAGATTATTTTAGTAGAATAACAGTCAAGACTCATTTCCAGCCATTTCTCTCTCTGTATACTAACAGAACAATTGAAAATAATGAGGTTTGTATTTTGTTTTGTGGAAAAACTGATGGTGTATTTTATTTTTACATTTTGTTACCGAAAAACATATTGTCCCTCACACCAAACTTTCTCGAAAACCAAAAACAAAAAAGAATTTGGTAAAGCCCCTCTCAAACCAAACAGCAAAGAGCATCCTCTCCCCAATAGTGTCCATTCTGTTGTTGAAAATATTGTTCGATTTTTTGGTTTAGACAGTCGCAAACTGAAACCTAGCGGAAACATATTCGGTTCTGCTAGATTTTTTGTAATTAAGGTTCTGGTTATTTCGGTTATATAAGACTCCTCAAAATTTGACAAGTGAAATAGACAATGGGTCTACTATAAGTTTTTGCAAAATATTCTCAAACTCATTTCTCCCTTCGTCCTTCTCTGATCCCTTCGTCCCTTTCTTTCCCCAAGTTCACAACTTCGTAGTCTTTTCAGGCTGCCACGACAGGTTGGAGGAAGGTTAATGGTGGTGATGGCAACGGGATTTTCACATACTCTTGTCTCTTCTCTCTTGGGATTGCCTTTCACTAAATATATGGAGAAGGTCTGATGAATTTGGATTAGGCAGGAGGAGAGGCGGAACCACGACTTGAAGATTATGGGTTCTGAATAGTTAGTGGGCTCACAATTAAATATTTATACATATTTAATAAATTTCCTAATATAAATACGGGTCTAAGCAACAACTACTGGAATCGTTCGAACCCGTACCGAATACTCTAGCTCCGCCCCTAGGTTTGGTTTGAACTATAGGTAAGGAAGTATAAGGTTGGTATAGAGAGGACCAACTTAAAATATGAACATTTTGGTTCAGTTTAACCAAACTTTTTCATAATACCAAAAACTAAAGGGAATAACAGAAAATTCAAAAAATCAGAATCGTAGTTGATGGGAAAACTGAAAATACTGAAATTGAGAAAATGAAAAACCTCCGTTTGGTCGGTTTTTCGGCTTCAACAGAAAATACACCCACCCCTAGAGTATACTCTCGCAGCATTAGAAACACAAAGTATCTATTTCGCTCTAAGCAGGTCGCACATGGGTATATTGCCGCAATCGGCAAGCGTGCAGGTAGAAACGGGTCATTGATGCTTAATACTAGCATACACATCGCACATAAGAACGTACCATGACAAATTCAACGAAAGCTATACGGGTTGAGTGCACTTGATCCCCCAAAAGCCTCAAACGAGAAACCTGCAAAGGAAGAATATCATTCATTCTCACCCCTTAAGTCAAGATTCCCTATCTTACTGAGAGCTTTTGAACATCATACTAACCTCACCACATCTTGTTTCAAAAAAGATTTTGACATCAGCTTGAGAAACCTGTTGAGCATATAGTATATCAATTCTACAATAAGAAAAAGTAATTCAACCAGCAACTAAGGTATGAGGCCGTGAGCCAAATAATAAACAACTAGATTGTGAATAAGCTCCAAAAATATCCAATAGAAAGATGCAGTCAAGAAAAACATGGATATTTCAGAAGATTGCAAATATGAAACACTGTACCATCTTATCGATATTTGTGCAATAGACTGTCCTCGCGCACATCTCGCGCTCATCCTCTGACTATATATAAAACAACAGAATCGACAAGAAAGAAATTAGTTGACCTAGATTCCACAAGGCTGAGATAGAACCATAAACAAATTATTTTGGTACTATTTTCCACCTACTAGCACAGTGAAATGACAAAGATTTGCTTACCCTTGGAAGGAATGTAGGATTTACAGGTAGTATAGCAGTTTTTGATGGTAGGACCTTGAGTGGAGAGAAACCTAATATTGTCCCACAAAGACTAAGTGCAGCTCTTGCAGAATCTGTTCGGAGTGATTCCATACGACATTATTAGTTTCGAATGTTCGGCAATATTAAGAACTTCAAGTCACTTCGAATCTTCAGCAATCTTAAGAAGATCAAATCAAGATATACTACTTACATTCATCAGCGAACTCCACAAAAGCAAAGCGAAGGCGGGAGTGGGGATCACCGCAAACTCGGCAGTCAACAACCTGCTAATAAGCACAGCCAAGATGAAACCAAACCACTTTTACACTCTTTAATAGAGTAACAGATCAAGTTTTCTCTCAAAGAAGTTCCATGAAGTCAGTCTAATTCTGGAAACGTTCTAATTAAGTCATCACAAAGGGCATGGAAATTAGCAAATTAAGATGACAAACAGGAACATAAACATCATGATCTCCAAGACCCACACCTTGTAGCCCCAACAAAAACATATTATAACGTCTAGATCCACAATTGAGCGACGCATTTTTAAGGCAAAAAGGCTACCCGCCCTGGAAATCAAGTATCATACAGGTCCCACCATAAACCAAACTGCAGACAAACTCTTGAGACTGCTGATGGAAGTTAGGAGACAACAAGTGCCTACAACCAGAGTTTCCTCTATCGGTGTTATCAAAGGTGCGCTTAAGCCCCTTAAGCGAGGCGCAGAACATGTTGAGTGCTTCGCGTCGCTTAGCAGGCGCTCAGTGTCGTCATCAAGGCGCTAAGGCATATTTTTCCTTGCCAATGAGCGTAATCTTGAAGAGGCGACACTAAACAATTGATATTTCACTTTATCGTAATTTTTTTCTATTTCTTTGTCCATATATTTGTTATTCATGCATATAATTATTAGTCTTGAACTACACAGTACACATACATGTTTGTTTGTTTTCCTCCATTTTCGCCTTTCTTCATCGAAGCCCACGCTTTATTTGCGCTTTTCACTTAAAGCCCCGGCAGCTCTTCGAGCTTTTTTGCACTTTTCGCCTTCGATAACACTGCCTCTATCGGGAACCATAGAGGGCTTATTTGAAAGGTCAAGTCTTGGCATATATAAATCCATGTACTTCTAACCATTGATAAGCATGAGGGTAAGTTCCCTAGTGTAAATGCATCTTCACAAAAGTGAAGTGGCACATACTTCTTATTTGCGTGCAAATTGCTATTTGCTAAAAGAAGATGATTTTCTCACCAAATGAAGACGGATATTTGCTGGAGATTGAGGAACATGTTTTCTTCTCACTAAAACTAATGAGGGTGTGGGAGCAGTTAGAGGAGTTATTTATGATAGCCATGTATAGCTAGTCCAAGCTAGCATGGACTAGTGTAGCTTTATACCAAATGAACCGAAAAGGAAGGAAATTACTTGTTTCTTGGTTTCTTAAGTTATTAAAAGAAGCATGCACACAAGAACTCAAATATCTAAAATGATGATTCAGACCAATGTTCAGAAGGGCATAGTGACTTACTTGTCCATAGGCACTAAATAGCGCAGCAAGCTGCTCCTCTGTGACCTACATTTTGATAAGGTAAAAGGCAACCAAAAAAAAATATTACATAAATCTTAATACAGAAAATCATACAAAATTCAATAATCATCCATCCTTACATACATTGATATCAATGTCAGAAACATAGACTGTTCGCCTAATGCTATCTTCTCTTTGAGCTCTGAAAGATCTACTGTTCATTCTCCTTCTGCCCTGGTTAAAGTTGTTCCCCCTCTGTAAAAAAAATAAAGTGAGACAAAAATTGAGTTACACGAAGCCGTAGTAAGTTGAAAAATGTCAAGTAGGTATAATATATAACCGGTTCTCCAGTAGTAGCACTGTCGACTATGGGCTATTATGCACTCTCCCATTTAAGAAGGTAAGCGAATTTAGAATGATCGGACGAAAACATTTAGTCAGTGTATATGAAATGATAAATTAGCCGCTAATATCTCTTCCACATATGGCGAAAGTTATGTTTAGTATGTCTAAACGACCAACATAACGAAATGGAACAACTAGCACGTGCACGTTCAGATTGAAACAACCAATTCCACGTTGTCCACTGCAATGATTCCAGCGGTACTCATCCACTTAAAGCAGCTAAGCATCAGCAATCAAAGTGACAAACCAAAATAATTGAATCCCACTCAATTAACTTAAATGTCAAATTTCTTTTTTTAACAAATGGAATGTCTAAATTGACCTACTAATAGACCAACCATCATCCATTCATTCTCGGCAGCTTTAAACATTTACACGTTCAATGTTTCCTGATAGTTGTGAAACCCTGGTTTCTAAATCTGTTCAATTAGCAGCATTTGATAAATGATTACAAGTGCCAAAAAGCATAAGGATCGTCGCAACAACTTAATCTGGAAATTGATTACTTACGCTCACAGAATAAGTAGTGTCCCAAAATATATGAAATATCCAAAAAAAAACATTTCTTACCTAGCAAATGTGGAGATTTCTCAAGCAAGTACAAAAATAACAGTTAAGCTAAATCTCCTTCAATTCCAACTATTACGCCCACACATTAATGTGTACACACGAGATAAATCTTAAAGGTAAAATCTTTATTAGAAACCTATGTTGCGCGGACTCTCCAAATATGATGCTGCACCCGTGTCGGGTCCTCCAAAAATGCACTACTTTGGGAGGATTCAACATACACCCTCTGACATTTTCATAGAGTCCACGCAACATAGCTAGAAACAACATGTTCACAAATTATGACAAAATTCAACATGGATCAATTAAACCAAGTTCAATCATGAAAAAAGAATTAAAACACACTAAACCAGTACAGTCAGACCTCTCTATAACAGCATCCCTATATAACAACACTTCACTATAAAAGCTAAGTTTTTCCACAACCAATTTTCTATCTTATGTTATAATATATGTTCTATATAACAGCACTTCGCTATAACATCCAAAAAATATTTGGAACAAACGAAGCTGTTATAGAGAGCTTTGACTATATAGGCAATTCCAAGTTTTCCAAGAGAAATCCTCCAACTAATAATTGTTCAGTCATGAATAGGACCTTAAAAGTTAAAACAGACTAAAACAATACAATTATATTTCAAAAATCTCCAAACAATTAAACAATGAAAAATAACAAGAATTAAAAATATTGAAGATATACCCTTTGGTTATTTCTGAAACCATCACCTCCCAGAGACTTGTGAGCTGTAACAAAATTATTGAAAAACATCTGATCACGATTATTATATGAAGAAGGAACAAATTCCTTAGCCTGTGGATTCAACTTGAGTTTATTCAACATATGAACAATATTCTGCATTTCATATTCTGATTTTGAATTTGTGATTAAATCAGAATCCTTAATCACTGCTGTCTCATCAGACCCTTGTGTACCAGTAGCCATTGAAACAAAAACCCAAAAAAGCTCAAAACTTTAACAAGAAAAACTAAGAATTCTTGATTTTTTCTGCAAAAATGTAATCTTTATATGATCTGATATAGGGAATTTGTTATTGAAGAGCAAAATGCGTGTTATTGAAACAGACCCATTTGGGGAAAATAAATGTGAGAAAAGTTGGGTGATGAGTGAGAAATTGAAGAGAAGAGAATAAGCTAAAAAGGGGTTTTGGTGGCGTGGTTTATTAGAAAAACAACAAGTGGCTTTGGGCTTTGGCCTTTTGCGACTCTTATTTTGTTTTGTTTTCTGTTTTTGGAAAAGAGGAGAATAGTGCGTGCGTTTTTAGTCGTGTATTTGTGTTACGCATACCGAGGTATTGTAGGGATTTTTTTGTTTATCTAACATTCATACAAGAAGGGCAGACTTAGAGCAACGATACAGTTATATTGTGCGACCTATAGGTTATAGTTTCGAACCGATATGGGTTATAGTTTCGAACCGTTAAATTAAGATTTTTTTTCCGGGACCTTATATGAATGCGGAATGTTTTGTATACCGGGCTGCCCTTAAAATTACTCAATATATATAGAGAGAATTACCATTTTATCATAAAAAATAACATAATGTGTTACTTTTTACGCAATATATAGAAGTTAATGTCGTGGAGGTGGGTGGAAGTTGAAGGCAATTAAGAAAAAGGATGGAATAGGTTTGGCAATAGATAGAAGAAGCGAGGAAGCGAGACAGATTCAAGATTTAAGTTTAAAGATTTCAATCTTAAAATTAGCATTTAACTTATTATATTTTTAAAATTATTGATTTAGAACTTGATATTTATTAAAAATATCGATAGTAATGGTGCCTTTGAGTATTCTCTATATTTGTCAAAATAATACATTATATACACTTAATCAATGTAAATATTTTGTATATATAAGCTACCGCCTGTAATTAATTTTGATCGACAGGCTAAAAATTTTTAAAAAAAAAACTTTTAAAAGTATCTTGCAGAAATAAGAAATTATGCAAGATATGCATGCATACATACTCCTTTTTATAGCCCGTTTGGCCGAGCTGCAAAAATCAGCTTATTTTGAGAAGTGCTTTTTTTTAAAAGTGCTTTTCTCAAAAGTACTTTTGGGGAGAAGCAGTTTGTGTTTGGCTAATTAGTTTGAAAAGCACTTCTGAGCAGCAATTAGTGTTTGGCTAAGCTTTAAAAAACTGCTTCTAAGTGTATTTTTCTCAAAAGTGTTTCTCAAAAAAGTGTTTTTGGAGAGAAGCTACTTTTTTCTGCTTCTCCAAAACTGCTTCTGCTTCTCCTCAAAAGCACTTTTTTTCCTTCCAAAAGCTTGGCCAAACACCTCAATTTTTGGCCAAAAGTGCTTTTGGCAAAAAAAGAGCACTTTTGGCCAAAAAGAATCTTGGCCAAACAGGATATTAGTGTTTGGCTAAGCTTTAAAAAACTGCTTCTAAGTGTATTTTTCTCAAAAGTGTTTCTCAAAAAAGTGTTTTTGGAGAGAAGTTACTTTTTTCTGCTTCTCCTCAAAAGCACTTTTTTTCCTTTCAAAAGCTTGGCCAAACACCTCAACTTAATTGTGGTACATAAAAAAATGTCACCTTTAGTGCATGTATATTCTAAAGTGCTTAAGTTTAAAATAAATTTTATAGCATACAAAAGTTAATTATTGTATATCATTTAATATTTTTAACTTCTTAATTTTCTTTCTGAGTGATGCACGTAATTGAAAGCTATATTAATCGCTTTAATTTATTTGTAAACACTATGAAAAAGGAAAAGGAAGATTCAGTTCTCCTTGTTATGGAAGCTTTTGAAATTTCTTGCTTGAAATTTTCATGTTTATTTTAGCAACAAATTCAATTATTTTTTTTCTTTCATTGACTGGTAAAAAAAATATCAATGTTCTAATATGTAATATTCACAGTCAAGATAAAACTCATAAAAATTAAATATTTAAACCCTAAGAGAAATGACAAGGAACTAAATTTTAAAAATAATTAGAGGAAAATAATTGAAGTGGTCAAGATATTTGTATACGGGTGAAACCGGACCATAAGCCGGACCGGTTTTCGATAAAATAAATCGAGATAAGGGACTCATCGAGACAGGCTCCGGGGGCACGACGCACGCCCTCGAGTATATCTGGGTCATGACCCCGGGATCGGTCCAAATCCCAAAAGACTTCAGAGAGCATTATTGGGCAATCAAGCACGATTAACGGAAGGCCGCAATATCCGTGACCCGTCGGGTATCACGGTCCGGATCTCGCCACGTTCGACAGAAATCCAATGATTAGTTAAACGGGAGATTTTACCTTTTAGGAATTGTACCTAGAGTAGGATTCCCCTACTATATAAAGGGGTCTGATTATTCAGTAAATTAACACGCATATCAAGGCAATATACTATTATTTTTTGTCATTCAAAGTTCCTACATTGTCAATCAGTGTTTCATTATTATAAGCCCGGGATCAAAGACGGATACCTCATTGAGGGTGCCCTCTAGTCCAGAATCACCCCCCCCCCTTTATTTTCAAGCGGTTTGATAATTTATTATATCTCTTATCTGTTTATTCGAGCAATCTTTACGTTTGTATTGAATAAATCCACGTATCCTTGTTGGCCCAAGAACAGGTGAAGTTTTGAAGACTGACAAAAGAACTCAGACATGGACCAGGTCCATCTTGTGAAACACAGTCATGATCGACCCAAACATGTGAGATGCACGTGAAGGAGATAAATCTAACTTATCAGAAGTAATATCTCCTGATCTGATCGAAAAGGTTGCATACTGGATAAGGAGAGAAAGGCTCCTTACATGAAGAGAACACAGTTTAAGAAGAGGATAGTGTTAGAGTATGAGATCAACTAGAACTCTTCTACGACAGAAGAGTAGAATCTGTATCCTAGTTAATCTCTAATAACTAACCCATTAAATATCAGTGTTGTTCTCTTTTACAGGGAATGCACATAAATAGAAGTTAAACTTAAATTGAGAGCAAAAGAGCAAGGCGATTTTGCAAGCAATTTATGTGTGATTCAAGCATGCAATCCTGAAGCTACTTGAACAAGATAGAAGAACCAGTTCCAAGTTTCTATCTTTTATTCTAGTTCAATTGTAGTAGGTGATTTTACATTGTACCTTTCAGCTTTTATAGAAGCAATTGTATTAGGTGCCTAGAGTATTCAAGTTAGAGTTAACTTGAAGTTGTCGCAACAGTTGAGGCTGTGTGCCACAACGGGATTAGAGTTAATCCTTAGGTTTACAAAGAGTTTTGTAAATGTTGTTTTGGCTCAGTGATTTTAGTGGAAGTTTGGAAAAATCCTACTGAGTAGTAGGTCGTGGTTTTTTCACCTTTTGAGCCAGGTGTTTTCCACGTAAAAATCTCTGTGTTCTTTATTTTCTTTACTTCTTATTCCGCAAATAGTAGTAGTTGGAACACTTAGAAGAACCAGGCCCTTCTATAGTTCTGTTAAGCGAAAATTGGGTACCACACAAATCATCCCCCCCCCTCTTGTGTGGTATTGAAGTATAAAACATCATTTGGTATTAGAGCAGGTTATCCTTGAAGAGGCTAACACCTTAGGAAAAGATCAAGATGAGTGCACCACCTGGAAACTGGGAAGGACAATCCACTACTAGGCCCCCACTCTTTAATGGTCAGTACTATTCTTGGTGGAAGAATAGGATGAGAGATCACATTATAGGAGAAGACTATGAACTCTGGGACATAGTCACTGATGGTCCCCTGGCTACTACAAAGAAGAATGCTGAAGGAGTGGACGTGCCAAAGACAAAAGCCGACTGCACTACTGAAGATTTGAAGAAATGGGAAAAGAATGCCAAGGCCAAGAAATGGCTTGTATGTGGACTAGGTACTGATGAGTACAGCAGGATTCAAAGTTGCACCACTGCTAAGGAGATATGGGACACTTTACAAGTGGCTCATGAAGGAACTCCTCAAGTAAAGAGATCAAGAGGAACACTGCTATATTCTCAATATGAGAATTTTACTATGAAGGAAGGAGAAACTATCCAGGAGATGTACACAAGGTTCACAACACTAACAAATGAACTTAAATCTCTTGGGAGAATTATCCTTGAAGAAGACAAGGTTGAGAAAATCTTGACAAGGGTCTTACCAGTAACTTGGGAAAGCAAAATCACTGCTATTCAGGAATCAAAGAACATTGCTACTCTCAAGTTGGATGAACTGACTGGAAATCTCACTGCCTATGAACTGAGAAGGCAAACCATGAAAATGGATGCACCCAAGAAGGAAATGAGTCTGGCTCTCAGAATAGCTGAAGGTGCAGATTTGGAGGATGATGAAATGGCCATGATCACAAGGGATTTCAAAAAGTACCTAATGAGAGGAAAGGGTTCTTCAAGAGGTACAACCTTCAACAAACCAAGAGCTCCTGAGAAACAGACCCACGAGGGTTGCTACAAATGTGGCAAGACTGATCACATGATCAAGAACTGTCCTCAGTGGGAAATTGAATGGAAGAAGGAAAGGGCTGAACGAAGGAACAGGTTCAACCCAAAAGGAACAAAGGATCAACAAAGGCTGTGGTTGCTGCTTGGGGAGAAACATGAAATGAGGATTCAGAAGACGAAGCTGGATATGAACAAGCACTTATGGCCATCGGAGAATCAGATGATGAACAAGAGGTAAGTGTGACTCATCTCAAAGACAAGATTAAACTTCTGTCTAAAGAAAGGTTATCTGAACTATTGCTAGACTTCATCGATGAGTATGAGATAATTAACAATGAGAAGGAAGAGTTGTCTAGGGAGTGTGTGATCTTAAAAGCCAAGTGCAAAAATCTAGAATATAGGGCTAATGAGAGTGACAGTAAAAATGCTGAGTTGAAGAACCAGGTTCTTGAACTTGACACCAATGTCCTAGAACTTAGGCCTGAAAATCTAAAACTGAAATTAGGAACAGGTAAGAAGAAAGCTGATCACACACATTTCACCTTAGAAGAAAACCTAGGAAAAATAAAGGATGAGTTGTACAGGAAGATGAGCAGATAAGAGTCTTAAAAGAAGACCTAGGGAAGGTAAAGCATGAACTAGACAGAACTTGCAAATGGAATAAGGCTTCTGATGCACTATCCTGGCTACAAGAACATCACAGTAGCAACAAGAGAGGACTTGGCTTTGGGGCTCAAGCACCTAAGTGGGACCCCAAAAGCAAGTACATCACTCTCCCTGAAAACAAAATCTGCACA